ATCAGTACCATAGTATAGTTTATGTAATAACAAAAAATATCATCCATAATATTGAAATCAAAGTTTGTCACACAGAGGACAGTAAAGTACAAAATTTTCTTTTTCATCAAATCAAGCATAGCTTAGCATGTGTATAGTTATGCCCCCGGATCGAAAGATCCCGGGGGTATATTGTTTTTGTCCTCTTTGTCTGTTTGTCTGTTTATCTGTTTGTCTGTCTGTCTGTTGTCAACTTTAACCTTGCCCATAACTTTTGATTGGTTGGAGCTATGACTTTCATATTTTCACCTGTGTATTCCTTGTGACAAGACCTTTCTTTGGGTACCATCATATTTGACCTTTTGACCTTGACCTTGGAGTTTGACCCACTTTTGCAAAATTTTATGAGACTTTAACCTTGGCCATAACTTCTGAACAGTTGGTGCTTGGGGTTTCAAACTTCACATGTGTATTTTTTGTGACAAGGCATTCCTTAGGATACCAACAACTTTGACCTTTTGACCTTGACCTAGGAGTTTGACCTACTTTTGAAAAACTAACCTTGGCCATAACTTTTGAACGGTTAGAGCTAGGGCTTTCATACTTTACATATGTAATCCTTGTGACAAGACCTTCCTTTGGATAACTTTGACCTTGACCTTGATGTTTTACTTACTTTTAAAAAACTTTAACCTTCGCCATAACTTTTGAACAGTTGCAGCTAGGGCTTTCAAATTTAACATTTTTTATCTTTTGGTCTGGATTCTGACTTGCATTTGAGAAACTTTAACCTTCGCCATAAGCTGCCATACGGGGGCATCAGTGTTTCACAAACACATCTTGTTACACATATTTTTCCTTGGGCATTACTAGTATTGGTTTACAATATCTGCCTGTTTCAATAAATAATGGTTGCGCACTAATTCCTAATTTTGTTAGCTCTGATCTAATCCTTCACTTCTTTTTAAAGGAAACTTTATGTAATCCTGCAAGTTATGTTTGATAAATTATTTCACCATGATAGAAATAAAGTTTTCCCGAGGTAAGTAATGAGATTTTGCTCAAATTGAATCATAGATCATGTCTACATACGTTTGTGTGTGGATCTAGGGGGGGGGGGGGGAGGGGTCAGCCGCCCCCCCCCCCCCTTGGAATTTACAGATATTAAATGTATATACTGAAGCAAATAAAAAATGACTCTCGACACCCCGTCCACTCGGGTCCCACCACCACCACTACGAAATACATGCACGTTTGTTTTCATGTTTGGGGATGGACTTTACCCCCCCCCCCCTTTACTTTGGCTTGTCAAGAAATTTCTGAGTTGGAAATTTTTTTTTACAGGAGTGGACCCCTCTCCCCGGAAAAAAATTCCTAGATCCACGCTTGCTATTGAAGCCTTTAGAAATTCTTTATTGAAAATATTTAAATTAAATAAGTCGAGTTTAATTTTTGTTGAAGATCAAAAAACTTGATTTGCCGTGAACAGCTAGGTGAAGTATAGTTCTTTTTCAGAGCTATCTCTCTGTCCTCTTTGAAAGATGATATTAAAAGTGCAAATTTATTGCATGTGGCACTTGATTCCAAAGATCTGAATCTGAGTATTTAAACATATTTTCAAAACATAAATAGTAGAGTGAATAATAATCCAGTTCAGTTTGCAGCAATTTTAACCTCTATGCTTTTCTATGTACACATAGAATATCTTTGATATAGTGTACTGTGTTTTTCAAACGGAAAACATATTCTGAGGATTTATATAGCAGGTAGTACTGTACTTTTTCAATAATCAGTATTACTTACATATATACAGTGTTATGCTTAGGCTACTCAACTTCAATGTACTCTATTTACATATATAAAACAAAAACAAAAACAAAAAACCATGATCTGTAGATTATGGAATTCCATATCCGACAGCCAACTGCTTACTGCCAACTGCTCACTGCTTACTGCCAACTGCCACTGTTCATAGATGATATTGCCTGTTTTGCTATCTTTAATATCTTTAATACGCATGCTTAATTGATTAAACCCTATGATAGATTACAATAATAACACGAATTGGAGGATTCAGGAATATTTTGAAACAGTGGGGGCAAGGAAGGAATAAATAGGAGGAAAGAGTATTCCCTCTTAAATACAATATGTCTAATTCCCACATTTTCTTGCAAGCAGGTAATCTTGGGTTATACCGGTATTTGTTGGTATATGCATTTATATCAGATACCAATAAAAATCATAAAGGCCTTTTACTCTATGTAAAAACTACGAAAGCCTATTAGGATCAAACTACGGTAAAAAAAAAAATTTAAAAGGCGTTATAACGCAAATAAAGGCGTAATTACGCCTTTCCTTTATTTGCGTTATTACGCCTTTTCCGCGTTATAACGCCTTTTCAAAAGGCGTTGTTACGCCTTTTTTAGCGTTATAACGCCTTTTGGAAAGGCGTTATAACGCCTTTTAGAAAGGCGTAATAACGCCTTTTGGAAAGGCGTAATTACGCCTTTATTTGCGTTATTACGCCTTTTTCCGCGTTATAACGCCTTTTCAAAAGGCGTTATTACGCCTTTTCAAAAGGCGTTATTACGCCTTTTTTTGCGTTATAACGCCTTTTGAAAAGGCGTTATAACGCCTTTTAATTTTTTTTTTTACCGTAGTTTGATCCTAATAGGCTTTCGTAAAAAACAGTTGATCTCAGACAAAGAAAAGCAATTTCAGTGCGGGGGGGGGGGGGGGGCACAACCCAACATAATTCCCTTGACAAGGAATAAAAAAAAGTCACAGGCGTCTTTACTGTATATAGTATATGTTGGAAATTTAGTGGGTACGCCCACCACCACCACCACGAATGTTTTTACAGATCTAACATTAGCCATTAAAACGATTTACATAAGACATAAGTACTTTTCCTAGGGTAAAAAGAAACACCGAAAGATATTACTAGATATTTTACACTGGGCAAAAGTAATATGTTATTATAACTTTCAGTAATATTTCTAGTAAAATACATAAACCAACAAATTTTACTCAAGACTTTCTTTTGTCGTGTGGAACCCCCCCCCCCCCTCCCGCGTCCAAAAAAGCTACCAAATTATTTGCCTGCGACGAAATGCAGAAATTAAATGTTTTTTTTAAAGCGGAAATACTCCCTCTTCTGATTTACTCCTTCCTCGCCTTTACAGTTTAAAAATTGCTCAGTCCTCCAAATTTGTTATTATTGTAAGAACTACGCACTCTAACTCTCGATTCCCGCCTACATTTTCCATCCATTTAATTCAATATAAATGGCACATAGGCGTCGGAAGCAAATTGAAAGTGGGGTGACTAATTGAAAGGGGGGGGGGCTAAACCAACGGAAAAAGGTAAGCCCCAATTCCCAATGCCTATATTATGCCTATCTTTGAAAAAAAAGTGGGGGAGGGGGGCTAAGCCCCCCTAGCACGCCCCCCACCGGTTCCGACGCCTATGTGGCAATTTGGACATTAAAACTTGTTTGAATGCAAAAGAAAAGTCCATTAATATTAAGTACTTATTTTTAAAATCAGTGACAAAAAGTTAATTGCTCTTATTTACAACTCCTTTCATAAGGGGGTAGAAAATTTTACCGACTGAAATCAGTCTGAAAACATTACCAGATTTTCAAATACTCAAGAAAATGGATAAATGACTCTTAAATCCCACCGTATGTTTTAACTTATGTAAAATTCAACATATGAAATTGATAAAGTGATAAAGTTCATTTTTTATTTGTTATCTCTTTTGAAATTGGTAATAAAATGACTATTTTCCTGTTTTTAAACTTTAAAAACGTGCCCAAAACCTTTGGAAAGAATAAAAACTAAAAAAAAAAAAAAAGGATTTGTTGTTTCGCGGGGGAAGATGTTTTGAAAATAAATTTCCATTTTCCGTTAATTTCTATAGTGAACATTTTTCTCAAATTAAAGATTTATATCTCTTTGTTTTTACAAATAAGTTATGAACAGATCTAGATGGGGGAGGGGGGGGGAGGGGGGTTCCGAACCACTCGTTTGGAATTTGTACAGTTATTTAATGTATAAACTAAACCAACTTAAAGTGACCTTGGACCCCCCCCCCCCCCTAGAAAACGCGGATCCGTGTTAAGTTGGTATGAAAAGTCATAGATATGAAGATATTAAGCATAAGAAGTCTAACCCCCCCCCCCCCTGAAATAAGTTTTCACGTTTAGGAAAGGCGTTAACGTTTGCGTTTTTGTTTTTTTTTTCTTGTCAAGAAATTTCTGGGTTGGATTTTTTTTACTGGGGTGGACCCCTCCTGGAAAAAATTCCTGGATCCGCGCCCTGTTTTTTTTTTTTTTTTTTTTTTGAAAATTCACATAAATATCAATAAAAATATGAAAAATTATTCAAATATGTGTGGCATTTGGCAGTAAGCAGTTGGCTGTCGTACATGGAATTCCATAGTAGATTATTTTATATACACAAATACAAATATTTATTGGCACAAACACAATTACAATAATTGGCAAAGGCTTAATTTGTCTGTGCTTGTTCGTAATTGTATAAATCTTTCTTGTTATTTGTGATGCCTGAAAGGACCCTGATTTGGAAATAAAGAATCTACCTATCTATCCATATAGCCTAATAAATCTAATTCATAGTCCGTAATCAATATACTTCAGATCCATATGTTATAATCGGTATAATCATTGATTGGTACAGTTAAAGTAAAACATTGACTGCAAGACTGTTATTTCCAGGTATAACTGATTTGAGCGCATGTTGTAAAGTTGTTTCAAGCAGCAAATTTCAGTCTAAATTTCCCTCGTTTGGCTTTCTGAGAAAATTGTCTTTAACATAGAAGAGTTTCAATTATATTCATCCGCTGATTCAATTAAACACATGGAAATTTATCTTTTATTCTTTTAAAAACCCAAATTTGAAAATTCTACCAATATATTTCTTCAAAATTCAAATAATCTGAAGCAAAATACTAAAGGCTTATTGCACAAGAACATAAAAACATCGCACTACTTTGCGGAAGTCGAAAAATATCAACGAGGACGACCATCAATACACTGAAAAGTCGGCAAAGGTATTCAAAAAATACGGAAATTCTTTTATTTTCATCGATTTGTTATGTTTTTGTGTATGTTATTATACTCACTGAATATTGATTTTTCTTTGTTATGTGCATTTTACGGTTTACTTTATGTATAATATGTTTTTTCTTGCTCGTTTAGGGTAGTTGTATGTTATGATGGCTTGACCTAATTACATGAAAAGTGTGAACTGTCAATACTTTGTTTATTGTCATGACAGAACAAACACGGTTTTTTAGAGGAAAAAAATGTCAAAGTTTCCCTTGCAGTGACATTCTTTGGTTGCATTACGACATCTTATATTTATTTCTTTGTTTTAAACCAAAAGTAAAATAGGGACACCCTGTATTTCAAAAGTATAGATTCTCCACTGTGATTGGTTCTTACAGAGTTCTTACTATATACCCCCATTGTACTTGTTTGAACCCAAAAGCAGTCACGATGAAAGATATGACCCTATAATTAATATAATTAAAATTTGAGGAATTATCAATTATGTTTTAGTGTTTAGATTATGTTTTACTTTAAATACACAGACATTTTTTCATAGATGTGTGTACATTGTCATTGTCAACATACATGGAATCTCATGTTTCAGCATAGTGTATATTTTGTGCATTGTGTGTTTTTTACTTGTCTGTCTAAATACACTGATTTAAATAAAAATTAAAAAGATTGCTGAATTTAGCATTTTTTAGAAATATTTTTTTTATATACATTGAAATACATTTTTAAAACATGCACCATCCTGGAGCTGATCCCCCCAAGCACAGGGTTAAAGATTGAAAACAAATGTCAGTTTATTCTTTGGTCAGTATTAATGTAACACATTGTTTATGTATCAAATGAACCTATTTTGAATTCAATGTTTTGTGTGTGTGTGTTTTTAAACTTTTATTTTGTCTGTATAACTAATATAGTAGGTATTTCAAGAGCAAAAATAAAAGGAAAGAAAGATTGGTTTACATTTTTGAAAAACTTTCAGAAAGTTTCTTAAGCATACAGTGTCGGCTTCGGCATTGAAATGCTAGCTTGGTTAAATAAAGTTCCTCATATTTTGTTTATTTATGAAAAGGGAGACAATTTTATAAACAAGGGGCTTTTAAAATGAGCAAGTCTTATCATGATTTCACAAGTGTGAGTATTATTACATTTTTTGTTTGTTTTTTAGTCACCATGGTGATAGAGGGAGGTGGCAGACCCTCCACAGGGATGACCTCAAAGGAATTGTGTGAAAATGATGACCTTGCCACCTCTGTCACAATTGACCCCTATTTAGGGTTAATGACCCACAAAATGAATATCAGGTAATGTATGTTGCAAATGTATGAATTATTTCATGTGAACAAATATTCAATTTAGAGATGGGCAGGAAGTTGAAGAGATGAACTTTCATAAATGACTACTTTTATGTCAAGGCAGATTTAATACATTTCCTGTACAAGAATCACACCAAAGATTTTTTTTTTGAAAAGAAATTGTAGGTATATGTATTTTTCTTTAATTTTCAAACAATATATTATGAATTGGTAATTAATTTGTTAAATTGACAGTAATTGACAGATATTTAGAAGTTTAGATATTTATATTTGTAGACACCGTCCAGTGAAGCAGAAAGTGCAGGAAGAGGTCAAGCAGTACATGACTGGCTTTGTGAAAGACAACGTATACGAAACAGCACTTAGTGAAATCTTCAGTACAGAACCAGTTCAAGCTTTTATACAAAACAAAAGCAAATCACAACAGAATGTACTGAGGGAACATGTATGTTATACTGATAAAAAGAAATGAAAGCATGAGATTATTTTGGCATGGTTAGAATTTTGGTCCTATATAGTGCAGTGAATTAAAAAAAAAATATTTACCTGATTTCATTTAGTCATTTACTCATATTCATGCACTGTAAGTAGATTTAAAAAAAATTCTCCCTCCTCCTAAGCACATGATTTGAGAAATTTCATGGTCTTATCTTTTTTCTTGTAGATGTGCAGGTACCTTCGGATGTTTGATCGCAGAGCAGGATTTAACCTGTATCCTTGTTATAGATACTCGATGGAGGGAAGAGTAGGGGCCAAAATTTGTGCCACAAAGCATTGGTAGGATTAAAACATGAAATATTCCACTTTTCATTACTGTATACAGGGAAATTTTCGCCCCCTTTTTTGCCCCTTTTGCCCTACTCACAGGTGTGCGAATTTAAAACGGGTTGAATTCAAAAAACACAGTGTAATTTCTTAAACAGAATTATGACTGGGCTGATTTAAAACGGGGCAAAATTGTTTGCAAGTGTGAAGGGGTTAAAATAACACGGGGTGAAAATAACCCTGTATACAGCAATTCTTTAGATTTTTATCCAGAAGTTAATAAATTATGTGTAAAAACATTAAAGAAAAAGACTACTGAAAAAATTGTGATAATTACACATGTAGAAGACATAATTTAATGGATTACTTTACATAATACACAGAAATAAATACATAAGTATATTGATTTTAGGTATAAGAATGACAAAATTCCAATGTTGGTGGGCTGTATAGCGGAACTCTCTAAAGAGGAGGAAGATAAAGTACTCAAGCCAGGGGTCAACGATTTCAGTGTAATGTATTCCTGTCGCAAAAACTGTGCTCAGTTATGGTTAGGACCAGCCAGCTTTATAAACCATGACTGTAGGGCTAATTGTCGGGTATGTCCAGTGTTGCATTCAGTGCTGCAAAAGATTTAACATTCCAAAAATTTCTTTGTTCAATTGTATAATAATTTGATTTTGTTTGTATTCTAACCTCTGATTGGTTAATATCCAAAATATCCAAAAAGGAACACAAATTATTTCTGTATAACCTGGTTTGGTATGCCCCCCCCCCCCCCCCCCCCCCGACAACCAGCTGAATCATCTGTATCCATACAATCCTCTCATTTCCAGTCCTCGGGATTCAAGGAAAATTCCAGATTTAATAAATGTACCTTTAACTTCAAACAATAATTCGAACTTACCACATTTAACAAACAACAAGGCTGATAGGCCTATGTATCAGTTTTTACCTCCCCTCGCTTCCCATCACTTCCGTTACTACGGATGTATTATTGAGCGGCAAATTTGAACTAATAAAAAGCAACGAAATTTTTCACCCATAGTTATTTAATGATTTTAAAATTAAATTATAAGGAATGACTCTAATTCAGTTTACGCTTTATAATTCGCGAAGTGGATTATAAAACAGCGTAAACTGACCCAAACCAGGTTATACTCAAATAATTTGGCCAAGAATTAGAGTCATTCCTAAATTGAGTTTGCATTGAAATTTTGTGGTGATTAGATAGTGAAATTTATATTCATTGCTTTTGTAGCTCCATTGAGCTTTCCAAGTGAGCTGAAAGCTAAATTAGCTTTTCTGATTAAATTTTTTGTCGTCTGTCATTTTATGTTTTCAGGATCATTGGGCCAGTTTCAACCAAACTTTGCATATAGCATCTTTGGTTGAAGGGAATACAAGATTATTCAAATAAAGGGAGCTACCAACATAACCACAAAAATTTTGCTGAAATAACTGCAGACTTAGTGTTAAGCAAGAAACAATCAATCAATCAATCCAATGAAGGGCAACCTCTTTTTTAGGTGAAATGGCATTAGGTAATAAAAAATAGTTTGGGGTCCTTTAAAAATCCCCTACACTTGGCCAAACATGACCAAACTTATATGAAAGCTTTCTTTTAAAAGTGTAGATTGAGGTTTGATGAAATAAGTTCACTTGGGCTTGGGTCGGGCCATGATAGGAGGTTAAATTTGTATGGGGGAAGATACAGGAAATCATTTTTAAATTTTGAAAAACTTTTTTTTCAAGGACAGTAATAACAACCTTAATACACAAGCATCCTCATTAGCATACATTCACTTTAATTCAAATCATGACCCCCAAAGCTAGGGTAGGGCCAACACGCCCCACAGGTCAAACTTTTATATATTGTAATATAATATGAATTAATAATATTATCAATGCAGTATAGATGCAGATTTGTTCAAATCATGGCCCTTAAGGCTAGGATGGGGCTGTTTTGGGGTTGAAACTTTTACTAAAGGAAATATTGGAACTTTAAAAATCTTTATCTCTAACAGTAGGGTGATAATTAGAGAAATTGATATGCAAGCATACCTATGTAGTAAAGATTAAATTTTGCAAGAATTGGGCAAAAACAGAGGATGAAGTTTTACACAGAAATATGTATACTTTTGAAGAACAATGCTATAATTTTTCTTGTTTAATTATACAAGTGGCAAGTAATTAGTCATTTTGTTTATTGTATATCTTTAACCAGCGAAATTAAGTTCCTTCCTTCATTCAAACACCTCTTTTCTACTAGAAATAGAAAAAAATGATCAGACACGTGCAATGGAAAATGAAAAAGGGTTATTTAATAAAGAGAAAAAGATTGCATCAATAATCACTTACTCCTAGCAGACCTATATTCCTGCACTTTTTAAAATTTTGTTTGTTTGTTTGTTTTGTCTTGGTGGGGGTGACAAAAAAACTGAATTCTCTTGGTGATGGTGGTTTTTCTATTCTTTTTTTTTTTTTTTTTTTTTTTATAGCTTTGGGATCTAAAAATCAGTGGTGATCCACAACCCTTAGATAATTTTTACTGGAATAGCCCTTACAGTAATGGGTTTTATTTACCTACATAATCATATGTCATTAAAAAAAAATCCCACTCAGGTGAGCTTTGTGGCTAGTGGGTTATTTGTATTGCAAATATTTGCAGTTATGGGAGAGAATTTTTTTTTCAATTGCAACTTTTATGTGCACTAAGAAACTTTTAAAATGTTAATCTTTTCATTACAGTATTTTGTTTATTTTTTCAATCTTCCAATCTTTAGTTTGTGTCCACTGGAAGAGACACTGCCTGTGTTAAAGTCCTCCGTGACATAGATCCCGGGGAGGAGATCACCTGCTTCTATGGGGAGGACTTCTTTGGGGAAAACAACTGTCTGTGTGAATGTGAAACTTGTGAAAGGTAAGAGGGATTAAGTGGTTTGAAAAGAAAGAAAAATCAATGTAACAATGAATTATAATTTCATAAAAATAAAATTTTAAACGTTGAGTGAAGACAGGATATCATCTTCAACATTTGCCAGCTAGTATAAAGATGGGAAAGTATCATTGGGCTCAGACAACTTAAAAACAGACTTACTAGTGTTGGGAGTTCCAAATTTTGTGATTAATTATCATTAATTAATAGTTTTGTGACTTGAACAGTTTGAATATAGCATATATTTAGAATGTGCATTCAGTGAATGCGAATGACATCAGATCGTGGAGACCTGGTCGGCAAATTTAATCTCGGTCAAATTACTTTGCGAGTAGGCCAGACCTCATCTCAACAAAGGTTTTAATTGTTATGTTTAGTCTTGGCCTTCACATCTCTCTGCGTGCTAAAAATAGCTTTCCCAAGCCAGACAATGTACAATCATGTTTTATGGTGTTAAACTTTTTTTTCTCGGTCTGACTGAAAATGGTTTGGTCACCTTATTTCTAATTTTTTCTATTTAAATTTATCATTGAGTTCAGGAGGAAGATGGGGGCTTTTAAACTTGAAGAATCATCCTCAATGAATGCGGAGGAGAAAGGTTACAGGTTACGAGACACAGATGACAGGCTGACCAGGCTAAAAGTCGATTCAGAAAAGTCTCAACCTATAGCAGAGATGCTAGGGGCAGCTCAGTATGGCAATGGTGAGAATACAACTTACCATAAGAGCAGAAATATTCTTGAGGGGTTGAATTTTGTTTCTTTCATCGATAGCAATTACCAGCAAAATTATATCTTTAATGAAATTTTACTCAGAAATTGTTATGCTATGGTTATTTTTGAAACATCAAAATTTTATCCCACTGAATTCTTTTTAGATCACAAAATCAACGAAATTCTATTTATGTGAAAAGTTAACTGATTCTACAGTTTATACCATATATAGTTCTATTTTCTTCTGTAGTATGAATTTACCATTGATCAAATGGCAAAGCCAAAATTTGTACCATTAAATCATCACTTGTTTATTATATGTACCGGTATATGTATTTTGTATATGATATTTAAACTTTTTAAATGTATAAAGGACATCATTATTATAAACTTTTTATCCATTATTTTGTGGTACTCATTTGCATGTCCAAAAATTGATTGATTTAAAATGAATTTGGTCAATTTCATGGTAAGGGTCATTTATTCACTGGTAATTGCTTAATATTGATTTATATCTTAAACTGCCAGACCACGCTAAGTTTTTTTTTGGTATTTCAAGAATTTTTATTGTAGAGAACTGGAATATAAGAGACGACAACCTGAAAAAACAATCACATCTTCTGAAAAAATCTGAGCTCAAGAAAAGGGGAATCACTCGATATGATGCTGAAATTCTTCTGTCTCAGGGTCTAAAACTACCTGATCCTAAAGAATTGGATGACAAACCTCATCGTACGAGAGGCTGTCAATCAGCCACAGGTGAGGAGGATTTATTGTTTTTGTAGGAGTCTTAAACACTTCAAAAATGTGTTTTAAATGTGTTTATTGTAAAGTATAGGTACATCTCTCATATGTGAAAATTTTTTCATTGATGCAGTAAGAGAATGATTGTTTATAAAAGTGGTTTTTTACAATGAATAAAAAGATTTAAATGTTATATATTATTTAATCATTTATGTTACGGTAGTGTCCTTTGGATTTTTTTTAAAATTGAAATTGATTTTGTGTTTTTAGGGTCTAGCGTTAATAGGAAAAAGTATTATAATAAACGTGGAAAGAATGGCAGATTTCAGTTAAAGAAAGAATCTCATCCAAAAATTTCTGAACAAGACACTCGGGCTGTAGCTGCTAAAATCAAGTCGCCAAACAAAAGAATGAGTTTCACATTTGATGATTCACGAGACTGTAGTGTTGAAAGGACATCAACACCAATCAAAAACGAGAAAGTGAATAGTGTGTCCTCAGGTATTGTTCCCCGTTCTAGTCCAAGGTTGCGTAGAATGTGCCAAAGTGTGACAAATTGTGAAGTGGCTTGTTCAGATATAACAAACACTGAACCACCACCTTGTGTGAAGACGGAACCAGTCAGTACAGTGCGTATGAGTCCAAGGATCCGATCTGTTCATACGGAGCGGGAGGATTCCTGTCCAAGTTTGTCCCCTCAGGAACCACACTGTGATACTTTAGAGAACTCTTTCAGTCAGCCTCCCCATTTATCAGAACTCCATGTCACCACAGTGCCACTCCAACACTCCTCTCACCATGACATGTCACCACGACTTCGTCGCACCAGTGTAACTGGATCTGACACCTGTCACTCACCACATCATTTCTGTGACATATCAGGTAGTATGATTTAAAAGAAGCAACACTTTTTTGGTCCGAAGGCTGAAAATTGATGGGAAAATATAATCTGGATTTTTCTTTGCAGGTTTAAAATCCTCATCCACCCAAGTTCAATTGAGTCCCAGAGTTCGAAATTTAAGTGGCGTCAATGGCGTGAGACAGAGTCCTAGACTACAAGAACGCTCAAATTCTTTGGTGGAAAGTGTCAAATCAGCAGCTGTTAAGTGTTTGGACAAGCAGTTTCTTAAAGACTACCAGAAAGAAGACTGTGAAATTGATGTGGTGGGGATCGACCAGGAGGCAGGGCTTGACTCACCAGAGCCATTCAATGGCTTTAACAAACTCATGTGGGGATCCATTCTAAAATCTGGGTCGACAACATCTTCCTGTCAAGGAAAGACCAACCAGTCTGAGGAACAAAATAATAACAGTCAAATTTATCGCTCACACTCGGACCATTGTCTAGACAAGAAAAGACCAAAAGAGCATCATAAAAATCGTAAACGCAAACTTTCATACTCTGTCACACCGTCCTTTGAAGGCTGTGACGAGACCTCACCGGTCAAAAAGGTTCCAAAATTAATCTTCAGGAAAAACAAAGGTCAGGATGAAGAGTGTTTGCTCCTAGAGTTGGAGGACAAAACCAGAAGAAATGCTAGTGAACATTTGAACCCAGTGAAACCTCCTTTTCCAAAGAAATTAAAACTCAAATTAGGAAATGATATGACAGAAATAAATCTACCTCAATGAACTCTTTGTCTTGTGTAAAATTTAGGTTCTGTATTCAAATTACAAGCACATTAAATTTCAATCTTGTTTCATTTTAGATTAAAAGTTGATCCATTTTGCTAATTTAAATTGAAGCTGTCCTTGTTAAATGATCTCATTTTAAAATTGCCCCGTAAAAGGGTAATAGTTAATGAGAGGTCAATTTCTTTCAGTATGCAGTATTTCCATTTGTTTTATATTATGTGGAATATGTGCTGTATTTCCAAACAAAACAATCAATTCTATGCAGGGTTATGTTCATTTTTAACTTATTTCTATTCATGTACACATATTTATATCCTTAGCATACTCTAATTTTGGAAAGGAATTGTGATCAATTTCTGAAGAATGGGATTTGTGTGTTTCTTTTTTCAACAGGACTTAATTTAGAATATGAGATGAGATCATAAGTAAAATTATGGAGTGTTTGACAGTTCTGAAAAACAGATTCTATCACTATGTATTAATTCAGAAACCCCATCTGATAAAATGTTTCGAAAATCATTCAGTTTTTTTTTTTTTGTTTAATATAACTCAGGTCTTGCATCTTTAGCAGATTTTTAACAGGCATCTTAAATTTGATCATTTTCTAGCATTTTTGTGATATTTTAATGATGAGTCGTGTATTTGAAATGAAAATATTTTTGCTTAGTCAAAAAGTAAAAAATGCAGTGTAATCCGGTTATAATGAATATGTAGGGCAGTCATATTTGCTTCGTTTGTCAGCAACATCTTACTTGCTACTAAGTGATAAACAGCTTTGATGTAAGCATATATTATACAATTTAAATGTGTTCACCACAAGCATGTTTTGATTGTAAAATTTTTTTTTGGAAAATAAGTATTGGATGAATTTATAGTTTTAATAATTACCTCTAACAACTGAGTTAATTAATGTTTGCAAACAATTTTTTGTAATAAAATTCAATGGTTTTAATGAATTTTTTTTAAAAGGTGATTCTGTAGACAAAAAATATTTTAATTTTGATGTTGACATCTAGGATAAGAAATAAAAAGGTCTTTAAAAAGTGACAAAGCAGTAGGTAGAAGTTGTGAGAGAAGTTTCTTGATAAATATGCATTCGTATTCAGCGTTTCATCAGTTTGCTAAGAGGCAGGTTTTGTGTTTTACAGTGATTTATCAGTTTAATGTTAATTAGAAGTGTGACGAAGATGGAAGTGTGATAATTGTTAACAGTATTTGTTGAGATTTCCTGTTGTATTACTGTTATGTTTTTCATCTTTGCGTTTCTTTTCCGATATCATATACTGTTCAATCATTCATTTTCTAAATTAAGATGAAGTAAATTTTGTATCATTCAGTGTGTCAGTCACAAAATTTCTGAAGGCTTTTCAGATTCATATCCTTACTGAACAAATGAAATGGCAAAACCCGATATTTTCTGTTGTCAGACTTGAGTCTTTCATATATGTGGTTTTCTATTAATGTTTTATAAATAGATGATTTCCTTCATGTAATTGATTGAATTTTGACCATGTAACTCAAGTAAAAAAGTAATTTTAATAGCCATAGATAATGAATTGGGTATCAATTGAATTTTAAGTTTTTGAGATAAATATTTTTGGAATTGCTGAAAATTTTTTTACTTATCCACATCTATCGCATTTCTGATATACAAATCCTACCCCAGACTCTGAAATCTGGGCAAACACAGAAAAATGTATCATAGTAAATCACAGTTTAATGGCAGAAATTGTTGTTATATCAAATAAACTACTGAAGAGAACTTCAATTAGTTTGATATAGTGTATTATAATTTATTGATATGTTGGCATGACAACAATAAAAACAGAATTCAAGGTTTATCTTGTGTTTTATGTCTTATAGCTGATACTGATGGTAGTATTTTACTGATCTGTCTTGAGCTTTTGTTCTACAGTTCCAATACCAGAAAAGCTTACTTGATGACAAAAATGTCCATTTTAAACAAAGACAAAAAAGAATTTAAAAACAGTTTTATACATCTTCTGAAGGTTTGGTTTAGTTGTTAGAAAACTTGCTACACTAATAAATTACACTGTAGGTAGTTACCTTGATTATTACGGCACACAAAGTTTGGGAACATTTATTTTTTTCCCCCAGTTTCTTCTCTGGTACTTTGTTGTCAACAAAATTAATGTTGCCGGAAACTCTTCCATTTGAAATGAAACATTTTAACCTTACTGAGTTGAAGACTTAAGTGAGCTCTTCTGATTGAAGGGTGTACAGCATCCGTCTGTCATCTGAAAACTTTTCACATTTTTGACATCTTTTCCAGAACCACAGAGCCAAATTTAAGCAAACTTGCCACAAAGTATCCTTGGGTGAAGGGGATTCAATTTTGTTATATATAATTTAATTAAGAAGTGGTGAAAATTTTGGTGGGGACACTCCAATATTTTAAAAAACTTCCAAAGAATGACCACTGGGTCAGAAGGGATGAAACTTGTATGAAAGCTTCCTGACAAATTGTAGATTCAAGTTTGTTCAAATCATTGTTCCTTGGGGTAGGGCAGGTCCTAGAAGGGGATCGAAGATTTACATGGGAGTATATGTATTTAGGAAAAAAGTTTTAAAAGTCTTGTTTTTCAAGAAAAGCAGGATCATGATTAGTCATGGCAATATGCATGTGTTCCCAGTTAGTGTAAATTCAAGTTTGTTCAACTCATGGCCCCCAGGGGTAGGTTGGGGCCACAATAGGACAGTAAAATGTGGGAATATGCAGGAAGAAATTTAAAAGAACCTTTTCCTCAATAACAGCAGGGTCATGATTATAGCCATGTCAATGTACATGTATCCTCAGTATAAATTCAAGTTTGTTAAGCCATGGTTCCTGGGGGTAAGGTGGGGGCACAAAAGGCATCAAATATTTTAATTACATGGGATTATATGTTTAAAAAAAATGGATAAAAAAACAGCAATGCCATGATTTATAAGTGATATTATATGTTAGAATCATCAGGTTAGTGCAAATTCAGATTATTCAAATCATAAGGAGTACTATGAGATGAAAGTTTTATATGGCAATATATGGGGGGGGGGGGGGGGGGAGTCTTAAAATCTTTTCAAGAACAGCAGGGCCATGTTTAGTTTCAATGCAAGTATATCTTTCTTTTTCTTTTTTTTTAATCATACAAATAATTTTCTAAATTGTACAAAGGCTTTTAAAAATCGTACAAACGATATTCTGAGTTGTACAACGATTTTCTAAATCGTAAAATTGATTTTATTTACTTTTTTCCCTACAAAAATTGAAATTGCATGTACTGTATAGGAACATGTAGATGCGAAACAACTAAGTATGGGATAGCCAATGAAAAAATTGTAACTCTTTAGAATTGGAGGCAAACTTCTCATAAAAAGGAGGGAAAACTCCGAAATATCGTCGCATTGTTGACAAATTGACAAAACAAGCCAGTCCTCTATCTCGGTTGATGACAACACAGGTAAATAATGCAGAATATGTTATGTGATCTTAAATTAACCTACCGAACAAACTGTATGTGATAATAATCATTCTTAAACATGATCCAGATATACATGTATTCCTGATTTGCAGCATCATGATATCACTCATATGGCTATAGGACAATATTATTTTTCTTCCAAGTGACAATATTTTTACTTTGATTTTACCTAAGTTGCTTTTATTTGAATCTTCACTACATGAACATAAAATTAATTAATACTCTCTCTGGGGGGTTTAGATTAATAATTATAACTTACATACAGTGTCCAAAGATGAAACTATTTTGGTTGTATACATGTATCTGTTTGAGAGCTGGACTCTTGATTTTCAACTTATTATGTGGTCCCTTGTGTAGTTGAACTTGTACATGTGTTTTCAGTTACTAAACTGCTGATTTTCATAAGGCTCAAAAAAGTTTCAAAGTAGCTGAAAATCTCAATTTTTCAAACTTTTCCCACTGTAGCCATGGCAACCAAGACACATAGCAACCAAATTGAACCAGGGGTTTCAGATATTTTTGAAATTAACAATATTTAACCCCCCTCCCCCCCACCAAAAAAAAAAAATTTAGTAGATGATGGCATTATATTTGACCTTTGATCTCTAATATGACATTGACCTTTACTCAAAGCATGGAGACTCCTCATACTTAGTTCTAAATATCAGTTCTCTACTACAAAGTAATCAAAGCTACATTAAATTTATTTAATAACAGATGGTTAAATCACCTGTAGATGACTAACGCATTCTAAATATAGACTCCAAGATTTCAAGTAAATGCATATGGGATGTCTCAATTTTGACACATGTTCTCATAGTGGGTTAGTTTGTATCATTAAACAACAGCATCCTATCAACCTTATTATATATATCTATCTTTAACTTTTTTAGAATCCTACACTCTTTAAACATTTGTAATTAAATATACCATGACTACTTAAGAGTTTTTCCGTGAGTAATAATAGAACTTTTTTTTCAAATTAAGATACCTAGTAAGTCCCACCTCATCAGGGTACATATCAATAAATAATATATTGCAGTTCATTTGATTTGAGTTCTGATCTAATAATCAGTTCATTTATGTTCTTATGTTTACTAGCCTGTATAGGACAGTAAGAGTTGTTGTGAATAAGTCTTTACATATTTCATCCTGACTATACATGTATAATTCCAGTAAGTCTGATATCTTTCTTCAGTCCTTTTATATAAGACATTTTTCTTCAATCCTTTTATACATGTTATACTTTGTGACCATAAAGTTGGGTATGGCAATTTATTATTTTTAGGTATATATAAGTATGGTTCAATTCAATATTGTTGATTTATTATATAGCTAATAAATATTCAATGATAAGAAAACTACTAAAAGTCTACAGAATTTTAGCATTCAATATCTTGGTGTTTTATTGGACGCTGAGTTTGTATTACGTATATGAGTATGCCCGAAACATTCTGAATATGAGCGTTCAATATCTAATGCCCTGTTGTAAGCAAAAAATGTCGTCTGGTCAATCTCTCAAAGGCAAATTTATGATAGGTAGTGGCAGCTAGGTAAGATGTTTTAAAAATTAAAATATTAATCATTTAGTACATATTAGCCTCAATAAAACCAAAATAAGCCTATCATAATGCTTGGTTATATAGGGTCATTGGAATGATGCGATATTGAGCACTTACAGGATCGACAATAATTTAAATGCCGATACTGAATATTCTTATTAATTTTAGTTATTTAATTGAAATAATTAATATAAATCAATGGGAGATGTTTTAGCTATATAATAAAGGAGTTATTGAACTTATATTGGTGAATATTGGCACTCGTTGGCTGTACAAATGCACTTGTGCACTCGTGCATTTGTACAGCCAAATTGTGCCAATATTCACCAATATAAATTCAATAACCCTATAATATTCTTTCTAAATGGTTTTAAAATCTTTAAAATTGATTTAAAGTACAGCTTCCCGAGAAGTCTAGTGTATTTTTTAAGCGCTAAGTGTAGCGCAAAGCGCCTACTGTCATCGTAAATCTACTTCCGTTCGCGATCCAGCGCCACTAAGCAAGTTAGATAACTCCACTGGATTTTCTAAAAATATGCAACTGGAAATCCCTGACTCTCTTTTGGCTATTTTAGTGTAATACTGAGTTATGTGCAGTTCTAATAATAGGAGTCAATTAGTAAGATAAAGATATGGATGTACATTGTACGAAAATCCACTGTTTGTAGATAAGGGCGGTTCTTGTCATGCTTATCTCTATAATACATTGTAGTTCATTTAAAATCATGTCGGCATTCATCACTTGTGTACCATGTAGCTAACAATTGCTGCATCTATGGCGCAAATACTTAATTAAAAACGGTTTATTATAAGCCATGTACATGTAATGTAGTGATTGAATAAGTACATATATTTAAAACTCAGATGAGATTTTAATAAGTAATTAAAACTCAGGCTGGAATCAAGTTATTTAGTAGAAAATTTCGCATAAAATTGATTTACAATGTACTTACATATGTACGTTCTATATAACTTACATCCATATAAACTATTATTTCTTCTTCTAAACCCTTATTTCAGGCAATGTAACTAAAAATAAGTCTTCCTATTATCACCCTTGAACCATGCAGAGAGCTATCAATGAAGTTGATTTTCGCACCTCAGGTGGCAGGGGATAGTTTCGTACTAAAGACTTGGTCAAATTTCTTAAAAAATTGAGATATCCCCTGTTTGATGTGATATTTTATGTAGAAAAATGATTAGAATAATTATGGGACACATTTGCAGTGCAGCAGAGTGCTTGCTGAAAAAAATGATGTGCAACATGTAGGTGTCACTATGACGCTTATCATATACAGAGTTGTAAATGCGAAACTAAGACACGTGGTCAGTTGCAGAGGAAATTCAGCTAAAAAGCAGTAGGCCTTAGAAGAAGGTGTGTATCTCAGAGGGAAGGTGAATGGCCCCATATCAATTGGTGAATTTTTATTAGGGCTTGCATTGATTTACAGACTACTGGGTGTTTTATCCTGCTCGCTCGGGCCTGGGGGTGGGTTGTGTGGGTGTGAATGAGGCCCAGATCTTGGAAAAACAAGCCAAAATTTGGGGAGTCCCCAGGTGCATTTTTGGTACATGTGCACTCTAATAGGCAGATTACATGTAATTTGTTGACATAATTTGTGAGCCATGGGCATATGAAGTGTAATTGATTAGCCCCTGGAAAACTGTCCCCATGTACATGTTTTTATGGATGGCATGTATATGTGTACCCCCTCGGCACATGTTTGGCATTAAAAAAAACTATCCTCTGCCACCTTCAAGAAAACACCAATTTTCAGAAATATGTAATTTAGTCCAATTCTTCTCTAAATAAGTTTATTGATGTATGCCATTTTCAAAACTCACCATATTTCTTTTATTTGACACTTATTCATTTAGGTAGAGAGACCTAAACACAAGGGGGGTAAACCTTTCCCAGTACACATTTTCAAAGAGTTTGAAGCATCAGCATAACAAATCTTAACAGAGTAAGGCAATTTTTTTCTGAGAAAAATTTGTTTGAAAATAATAGTTTGGGCACTGTCGCATATATTTTATCAAATTTTGATGCAATTACTTAGTATTAATTAAAATTAAAGGGGCTTAATTATTGCGATATCACTGAAATTACATAAATTTACACTTTTTTACATGTATTTCTTTAAATATCATTATTTTGAAAAAAGAATGAGTCAGTATGCAAAAATATCAGTTCACAGAACCACATTTATTCAAAGAATTGCTGTGTTTTAATTTTTTTTTTCAAATTAAACCCATTTTACTATTGATGATTACATAAAAAAATACCCCCCTCCCCTTCATTTTCCCCCTCATTTGTCTTCTATAATGTGATAGAACTTAAACTTTTCATTATTTTCATATAGATTATATATTTTTCTTTAAATTATAACAAAACAGATGGTCTTTTTGCATATTTACTGAACAAAATATCAAAAATATGTACATTTTCATGTAATTATTGGATTCTACTAAGCACCTGAAATTTACTCACAAATGCCAAGTAAGGACAGGATGATCACTTTAAATATTCAGGGGAATCAAATGCATGTATTTGATCATTCAGATATGTTGAAATTGAATGAAATATACTCAGAAAAAGGACAGTCAGGAAAATCAGATTTCCACAGTATATTTTCAATAGAATCAGGTAATGGTTGGAGGGGTAGGGTAGATAACTGCAATTTCCAGGATACTTCTTCTTGAACCTTTGATGCAAGAGGGGTTTTTGTATATTACAATAAATATCCTGAAAAATAGATTAGGTTTTCTTTTTGCAAACAAGCTATAGATGTATAAATTCAAGCAATTAAGAGGTAAAATGGGATTTCTCAAAACAACAAAAATAGGAGAGTATGTGTTACATGTGAGTACATTTCATCAAGGCATGCAATTCTTATTGAATTTTTTTTATATGTAGCTGCATTTGAAATTGATCAAAGTTACCATTAAACACTGTTTTGATAAGAAATAGTTTCTTTTGGATTGTAGGAGTTGGTCATTTTAGAAGTAACACAAAGAATATGGGGTTAAGGTGGTTGACCGACAATTGGTGGGGTCACTTATTTGCCTCTAACTTTTTTATTTTTCATTGAAATAAGACATATTTAGTATATTTTTACTCAGAATTGATTGCACTTTCTAAATATGGAAAGTTATTTTAATTGAAAAGCAAACTTTGAAAGTTAAAGGTGGCAGGGGATAGTTTCGTACTAAAGACCCGGTCAAATTTCTTAAAAAATTGAGAACCTGTACGAAATTGTACGCCTGGTAATAACACGTAAACCAGGCGTCATGCTCTGCAAAAACCAGGCGGATTTTGACTCAATACCATATAAGTAAACCAGGCGTCAAATGAGACGGAAACCAGGCGTAAAAAGAGGCGTAATATGCAAATTTTACGCCTCTTCAATAGACCAGGCGTAAAGGATCGTACCGTCCAGGCGTAAAAATGTCCAGGCGTACAATACACAATGATATATACAAAATACATTACATGTTTTGAAAACTAAGTATTTATTTTATCAAAACATCCATATCTTAGTATCAATTTATATAACATTCAAAGGCAGTTTTTCTTAACATTTTGATGGACAACAAAATGTCATTCAAATAAACTTTACATTAATAAATCTTCCCATTTAAGGAAAATTCAAAATTTGTATTATACAAAAATTATAAATTATCTTGAAAATACAGTGTACCAATCTCTGATGACTTTGTATTACAGCAGAGATGCTTATAATGAATTCATGGTTATAGTGATTTTCATTTCCTTAAATTTTAGAATATTGCTGTGAACTTAATGGATATAATGAACTACGCCTAATCAAAATTGTTCATTCATTGTACTTCGCAATAAGTGTGTTTTACATTAGCTTATCTTGTATCGTGCACTGAGCTCTTCTTAGCATTCTCATATTTTTCTTTCCCATGTTCCTTTTTAAATTTTTGTCCTGCAATGAGACTTGCTCTGTGATGGCATTGTTCAGTTCTTGGTTCACTTTTTTTCCTTCATTTTCTCCACACCACTAAAGGGCATAACCTGAAGGAAAATTGTAGCCATGCTTTAATGTAGGTCTGAAATCACATGCATTATGTCCAACAAGATCAGTATTTACAATTAGAGAAAAAAAAATTGTTGTATTACATAATGGGTTGACAGGAAAACAAACAGACAGACCAAACACTATATATCCCCAGTCCTTCAATTGGGGGCATGAAAATCTTACCCCTTCAGATATTCCAGGGGGTGAAATATCCTGGTCATTCTCCCTTGGTTTTTCTGAAGAAGGAGGATTTGGACACAGGAAGCCTGCTTCTTGATTATCTGGATGATAGGAATAGAAATATATTACAGCCGTGCATATAGTTAAATATATCAAATATTGAATGTGTATTTTACAAATACTTTATTTAGGTTTTTATTTTTTTTATTATTATCTAACCTCAACACAATCCTCCATGGGATGAAATGCTAATATCTACTACTACTACCAATGAAAGAATGTTGGTAGTAAAGTGTTTTCTCAAGGGAGAAGTTTTGTGACTTGGTATCTTCTTTTCCTTGGGACTTAGCTCCTGTTTCTTCTCTCTTGTATCCTCAGTGTTTTTTTCTTCTTATTTGGGATAAACTCTTCATCATGTTCCTTAATTTCTTTTATTTTGTCTGTTGGAGCCCTTGTTCTCTTCCCATTTGCTTTCTCTGTGTTTAGATTGAGAAATTAAACAGTCTCTCTGGAATATCTTTTGCTTTCTCCTGCAAGTTTCCCAATAATTTGCTGCATGCCGAATAGCAAACTTTGTTAGTTCCTCTTCATCATCTACAAATACACACACATATAACAAAATTATCACCAAGAAATGTGAGCTTTGTGTAGCATATCTGAGCTTGACCCCCCCCCCCCCCCCTTTTAAGAAACACAAAACAGACCCCTTGTAAGTCAGTAGGAAGGAACGAATACAAGAAAGTTATTAATATATATATATATATATATATATATATATATATATATATATATATATATATATATATTGATTGGGTATGAAAAGTTTCCGATCCACCTATGCATTGTAGCAACCCATTAAGGTCATACGCAACGTACATTACCTGTTGGTAGTTTTTCAAGAAATTCTTAACTTAAAATGAAGGCCCCCTAAGATGTTCTTAGGCAAAAAATCGGAATATATTACCAGGGGTTTTGAAAAGATAACATATGATGAAAATTTGGCGTTTTTCTATGCAAAATATACCAAAATCCTCAAACGTAATTTTAGCTGGTATTTCTTCCAAATTTTTTTTTACAAGAGTACTACAGCAATAGATGATGAAACTCTAGAGTTTTCAGCATATGAAACCAGCCTTTTTTCTTGGATTTTTGTTAAAAATCTAATTTGCATAGTTGTTTGTACCTGAGTTACCTCTCTTTGAAGAAAGAAATGCAATACACCCATACATACAACAGAAAGCACTGAAAGTTGTTGTACATGCATTTATGTTTTCATATTCATAAAATGATTCTGAAGAGACTGAATAATTTTTGAATTTCCTGTCACTCTTGGTTTTCCTCCTGTTTTTTCTGATAGCAGAGATCTTACCCCGTTTTCTTTGTCTCTCTGGTAAGCTAATAAAATGTGCTGGAAATGAAGACCTGTTTCAGCAATTTTGTTTACAGTAAACTTGGATAAAATCTTATTATCAATAAGATTTTGCAATGATTGCATGTTTCTCATTTTCATCATCAAAAAATTCAAATTATTTACAACAAATTCTGTAGAAAAACTATGCTTCATCATAATCTGACATGAAACTGACAAAGACAATAAAAGAGTTTGTAAGGCCAAGGCATCAGATTTGGCATCATGAGCATCATAATGAGTCACACACAGGTCCTTCAGCAAGTCCACTTGTTTATAACTCTTGCGGCCTGGGTAAAGTTCTCTAAATAGAGATAATGTGTCCACAAACCCACTTATGTGTTCTGACGCACTAATACCGATGGAACTCGACACATGCACTAGAACTCTAGAGTCAAACTTGGCATTATGAGCCACAAGCAATACTTTCCCAAATTTTCCAAGCCAGTGTATAAAATTGTTCACTGCATCTGGTGTCCTCATACACTGAACTTCATGTCCATTTTTGTACATGCAACCATTCTGTGTAGCAATACCAGACACAGCTGTGGCAGAAGCAGAAATTGGTTGAGTCAATGGCAAAACATACTGACAAAACACATCATCATTGACAGAGGCCCCGATCTGTGTTATTTCACAATCGTCACCTGCAAAACAAAATTCAATCCATGAGAATAGTAAAATAAATGACAGAAATTTCAATTTGAGTTATTTTTGTAAAACTGATAATTACCTAAACCAGTAGTTTCTAAGTCAAAATATACAAATGTGTATTGACCCTCAGTAATAGGAGTAGGTACAGGTTTGCTGAGAGGTGGAGGTATTTCCTTGATGCTGTTTGGATCAGTATTGTTGTTCATATCTGTGTCTGGTTCGTATGTTCTTCCTTCCCTTACTTCTGCTGACTCTTGTGATTTATGCTGGTCCATCTTTTTCTGTGCCCTTTTTTTCTTGTAAGTACTTGTATCTTCAGTTTCTTTAGTTCTCTTCCTTTTCAAGTCTATTTTTCTGGCTTTTGAAGAAGTAATTTCACCTGGGGATAATAGCAAGACCTCATTGACCTACAATGAAATTCAATGAAATGAAATATAATTGATTTGAAACTTTACAATTGCTTTTATGAAATAATAAATGAATATACAAGTTTTATACCTCTGTAACATAATGATGACCCAAATTTTTTTGGGCAATTGCAGCTGCAACACGGAAATCATTGCTTTCTGATCCTGAATAAAAGTTTTGTTTTGGAGTCTTGCTAGCAATGGTATTGTTAAGGCTTTCATTAGGTTGTGTACTGCCCAGGTCTACTAGTTTATCTGCCTGTGATATGTATAAGCTGAGTAGAGATGTCAAGTCACTCTTTAGATCTTGATTGTTCAGATATCTGTGATAAGGTAATTGCCAAGGTTTGTATGTTAGTGGTGAAGCTAAATATTTACACCAGGATTCACAGAAACTGTGATCACCAAAAACATGTCTTCCAATTGCCTCTAAGTTTTTCTTCATACCCGAGGGATCATTCTCATTTTGGGAAATGCAATATTTGAAACATTTTGACAGATGTTGAATTGTCTTACTATTCAATTCTTTGTAGTTTTTAGATTTTTTCAACTCGTATAGCTTATTTGTAAATTGTTTTAGAGTATGATTTCTATCACATTGCTTCTTTAGGGCCGGATTTACTTCAGCTCTAGCTCTCGCAACTGTTGTGGAATCGTTATCCATAATTATGTTTCCAACATGAATGTTGCTATCCTGAAGTTCCTTCATCATACCTGTTATGATAATATTCTAACATGAACAATAGAAAAAATCAAAATGATGTTCGCTGACTCATACAATCATGTGAGAAAATTTTGCTGTGTTTTTACATTTACATTGATCATGTTGATATTTTGTATAATACCAAGCATATCAGACTTTATACAAAAAACACTATACAATTATTTTACCTATACACATGTCTGGTTCCATTGCCTTAGAACTACCTGACCAATTCTTCCTGCAGTCATGTTCAGGGATATCTTTTTTTGTCCTCTCTGCCCTTTCACACACTCTGCAGAACTTGTTTCTTGTTGCATAGGCGATGCATTTTCCCGTCTCTTTACCTATCATTGCAGCATGTCCTACAATTGAGATGATTTTATTTGATTTTGATCATGGTCTTATGGCATAACAATAGATATATAATACTTGGGTTTTTACACATCCATTCTTCAAAGTCATTCCAATATACATATATGTTATGAAAAAATCTTTATATATATATCTGCAAATTACTAATTCTTCAAACCTGACAAACTTGAATAAGATCGCCCTGAACCTCTTTTCTGCCATCCTCCATCGAAAGACACTGAAAAGTCATCATTGCTGCAAAATCAAAAATGAAATGAAAGAAATAATGTTTCAGATTGTAAATTGAAAAAATAAATAAAATAAAAATAAATTATTCAAGAAATAAATGCACAATATTTTGATGAATACTGCATGCATTACTGATAATTACAGTTCTCATATTTATATAGCCAGAGATATTTTATTATTTGCCTAGCAATAGTTTATTAACAAAATTATATACACCATTTCCTTTCAAATGTGTGGGTCATAACAAAGAAATATGAGGACAGAATCTATCAAACACTGGTCCTGTACAAAGATTTATTAGTATTACCCAAATGATTCCTGCTCTGCATTAGCAAACTCTTTACAACTTTTTTTGGCAACATCTTCAACTGCTCGACCAACTTGTCTTTCAGAGGTTTTCAAAGAGGTCTTTGATAGTGGTGGGATGTTCAGTACACTTAGGAGCATAGATAATTTTTTCTCGCCAATGCCTGCATGGAGCATCCCTGCAATGTAATAAAAATTCTCAAGATACCATAATAAATATAACTGTATTCTAAGATGATACTTTGATCATATGAAGATGAATGATAAAGTCAGTATTCAATAATTACAAACCTAGTGCAACTTTTGTGTTCACATCAAATGCTCGTATCCCATTATTGTCCGAGCGAGAATGGCGTTTTCCTGTGGGAACATAGTTTACTGTGGTACAGAAATTACACTTGATATGTAATAAGGAACCTAGTCCATATCTCTGTTCACCACAAATGTCTCTCAAATTCAAAGATTGTTTACATTTACAACAACCCTCTATAAGTTTATTCACAATAAATTCCAATTCAACAATTCTTCTTCCTGTGTTCCACTGTATGACATGTGATGTATCTTCGTCATCAATAAGCACTGGAACTACTTCCTCTTCACAGTCTCCGTGTATTGATAGATCGTAGGCATAGTTATGCTCCAAAATGTGGATTGGATTTGGGAAATCATCATCTGTCATAAATTTACCACAAATAACCAAGGACATAAAAGAATGAGCGACACAAAGATATCTAAATGCTTAAGAGTGTTTTCTTAAACTTCAATCAATGAAGTATTTAGCCCTTCTTTGTTGTTTACTTATACGTCTATTATACGATATTTGCAAGTACACAAATCAAGATAACTTACTTGGAATAGGCAGTGGATCGTCAGGATCAGCTTGAGAATTTGTAGAAGGGACCTCAACTGCTACATTCTTCTGCCTATTACATTTAATCGATGTTATTTTACTTTGTTTTCCTTTGGAGATAAATCGCCCTCCTTTGTCGCGAATTTTCTCCATCATAAACAAAGATATCCTAAAACTATCTCTACGTACGAAAGAGCTCTCAAGGGACGTAATCGAAAGTAAAAATCGAACCCAATTCGGGAAATATTACGGAATCATTATTGGAACTCTTTATTTCTAGGAGATAGAAAAAATAAAGTAAAAACTACGTTGCGTCTGTCCTTAAACATCACCTTAACCATGTTAACATGGTCAGCTTATCAGAAAGTGCACTCTATTTGTTATCAGGACAGCTTTTGATTAAAATTACTGTAATTATTTTGTCTAGTAAAATTTTTAAGACAGCCACCGCGCCGTGTGGCAAATTTATAATTCATACCATCATACCATGTTGTGATCCATGCGACTTTATATTTCCCTCATCTTGAACCCGACTTTAAAAAAAAAAGGTGGAAAATGTCTCGTATATTTTTTGTTTTGTATATATTTTTTCGAAATGATAAATACTAAAAATGATAATTATGCGATAGAAAGATAATTTAAAAAAAAATCATGGAGTATACAACAGCAGTAGTTTACAAATACGACAGGTCTCCAAGCGTAAACAAACACGCATGCTACATGTAATCTAATCATTAACCATGTTAACAGAATGATTTTAAAAGCACATTTCTTAAATTTTTATAGATAATACTATATGGTATCTGGGTCAAACTGCAATCCTCATCGAAGTATTTTCACTTTCAAGTAAAACCAAGTTGTCAGAAACAAGTAGAAATCGGCAGGGCAATGTTTCTTTCAAAGCAACAGAATTTGAAATGACCATGCGGGCGGGATTTTGATAGCGTGGGATATCAAGTTTCTGCAGCCCCGGTTCGAAGATGCTCTACTGTTGAGGTTCACGACGGGATCGATACAAAAGCTATTACAAACTTTTCCCCAAAAACGTCTCTCAAAATAATAAAATGCGTTCTTTTAGTATTAATTTGTCGAATTTTTTTTTTTAAATGCAAAATCAATATGTAGATCAATAAATTTCACTGAGATCATTTTGTAAGGCGATTCCCCTTGGCCTCTGAGAAAACACCTTAGTTTACAGTTGTTCTCGGCACATTGGAAAATCATGGAATAACCAAACAAAATAAAGAAGGTTACTTACGGAAAGCGTTTGTAAAATTTAGCAAATTTCAGCTGAAGTTAATTTATAGAACGATGGAGATTTAAAATATGAGATGCATTACAAGGTACAGAATTTGTGATCGAAATGTGTAAATTTGCCGAGACATAAATAACAAGAACAGGAATCATTGATTGCGAGAAAACCGTAGAAGATTCTAGGAAACTGATATCGGTAAGTATTTTACAGTTGGTTTTTTTTTTTTTTTTTTTTTTTTTTTTTTTTTTTTTTAAAGATCGACCTACATATATCGGGATCGACAATCAATTTAATAGAATGTTACTTCCGTTTTACAGATTGCAACCCGAATTATCTCGGAACTAAATCGACTCTGAAGTTAGAAGACGAAGGCGCAGAAATAATCATCATGAGCGAGGTAGGTCACCTTAAATAACATTGTTTTGTTTTGTTTGTATCACTTTACTATTAGATTACAAATTATATACTTCTTGCAAATTGCAGGGACCCAGATTAGATCCCTGCTACTTGATCAGCTGTTGATAATCATACAGTACATGTAAAGCAAGAGAAAAAAAATACGAATGAGTTCTCATCGATTTTTTTTTTCTCAATACGTTTAAAGAAAATTAATTATTTTTTTGTACATATTGATTAGCTTGTAACAATACAACCTACACACCAATTTCTGGTTTTTAAAAATATATATATTTTAGTCGATTAAATTAATGTTCACTTGCATGCATTTGATTAACTGGGTAATAGTAGTGTTTTATTCTTGAATTAGATGTCTGACCATGAAGAGTCTGTGCTGGACCATTTGATGAGTAACATGACAACATTTAAGAAACAAAGAACCCCAACTGCCAAAAAGATACATAAAATTTAGTGATGAGGATTTTTCTGATAATGAAGAGGAAGTATTCTCTTTTCTGATTTATCTGATGAAGAGGAATACATTTTGGATGATATCACTGAAGAAATTGCAATGTTACGGAGCATGATGATCAAGACTTCCAACTTCTTTCTTTGCTCTGTAACATCCGTATTTCAATAAGAGTATTCATGTTAGTGCTTGCTGTGATTTGCACCAATAATAGATGATGAATCCAACAACTTTTGAACATAATT